TCATGCGATTTTGCGATGACCGTTGGACCAGAGCGGTTACCGACTGGATCCCTCGGGACGTCAAACGAACACCTGGACGACCGCCGGCCCGATGGTCAGACTTCTTCACGAAAGCTCTGAACGAAAGGAATGAAGGACTTCGTGTCCCTCGAGCGAGGAGGATCCACTGGACCACTCTAGCACGCGACAGGGACGAATGGAGACGTTGCTGCCCGCTCGAGCAATTCGATGATCAACGGGACGACAGGTGATACAGGTGACCACCGTTTGTGGGAAATTAACAAGTAAAATTCTTGACAACGCGACAGTTTTTTTTCCTCTGCTGCAGATATCATTTTAAACTTCTCTAAGTTTTGGAGGCAAGGAATCTCTGAACCAGTATATCCGTGTTGAGTGGGAGAAATAATGAAGAATGAAAAAAATTATCTAGCTGGAATTACCAAGTATGACTAATTTCTAGTAAATTTCAGATTATTGTTTAAAAAAACTAAATAATCAACAGAATAATCAACGCACGATAAAGACGTTGAGTCGAGCCAGTTGCTGATCCCCTTCTAGAGTACCTTAAATAGGGCTGAGTATGGAACCAGTAAACGAATGCACTGTCTATTTTGGCAGCTCCCTCCATCTTTATCGTATAACTTTGGACGTCCATTTTTCCAAACTCTTGTTCTTACAGCCTAGATTCCTTCACTCTTTCAAATAATGTCTCGGACGCACAAGATATGCAAGTGTAGTTGTCCCTCCTTCAAAGATACGCTGTTGGAGCACTCTTGCACCGTCGACGTTCGATGTTTTGAATGCTCTTCTGCTAGAAGACGAAGTCAATTCTCTGCAGTGTCAAACAATAGGATACCCAAGACCTTCCAGAACCTACCGCATTCGTCCGCCTCAACCATTTCTCGAGTTCTGTGAGTTGCTCGCCTGGGAAGTGATAGGGAATGGGATTGATTCGCGCACCCTCATCAATTTGAGACCCCGCTTGGCTTAGACTTATCTGGAGCGACGAAAGGAAGCGGCGGAGGCTTGGTGACAGTAGTCCATAAAAGAGGTGGAGCTAAGGCGTAGGATTCGAGAGGTAGTGAAACCGAATGTATACAGGTACACTGCGTCCCATAACTATAAATCCACCTAAGAATTTCCCAAAATCTCGTGAATTCAAACGCGTGAGAACAAATGTCTTCATGATCAGATCGAGCTACGCATGCAGTGAATTGTCCGTGGAACATCAATTTTCTATTTGAGATCACAGGAATTTTTCCCAATAATTTTTGTGTAAAAGGCCACTCAGCCGACGTCCCAAAATTATACGTCCACCTCATGTTTTTCGATTACTTTTCACTTCTGTTTCGTAAAACTTTTTATTGTGGTGACATTTTACTTCTTAAGCGGACAATGCAATAAAAACTGCTGTCGAACTTTGGAAAAGATCAACACGTCGCAAAAACTACCAAAGGTAATCACGACAAATTTGGACCAAATTTACTCCCAACTCAGGAATTTCTTCAGGGATTTCTCATGATATGAGATTTGGAAGAGCTCTGAAAGTCTCTCACTGCTTTCGATAAGGATCAAAGACCATGTCACAAAAGAAACATCCATTACTACACAAGCCATGCCTCGAAGCCTCGAATCTTCTTGAAAATTTTATTTCTCTCACAGGCTAATGTTCCGTGCATGTGAAGGAGTCTCAAGATCATCCGTTAATTGGAAATGTGGAAGGCATGATCTTCGGCAAGGAACCGTCGCGAATCTTGGACCAAGTTTTCGCATGAAGTTGAGCCGATCCGACAGAAGTAAGGTCGTTTTTGCTTGATATGTTTTAGCATGTGTCCACTATTCTCTTCACGTTTTTCTTTCCCTCGATGGTTTTTTCCACACAAAGCACTAACAAGAGAAAGATAAACATGAAGAGAATAACAGACAAATGCAAAAACCTATCAGGCAAAAGGCCGGCGAAATCAAAGTTTTTTTCCCCCCCCCCCTCCCGGCCCTTTTTTTTTTTTTTTACCTTTTTTTCCAAAAAAAAATGGCCCTTTTTTTTGGGGGCCCCCCGCCCGCCCGGAAGGTTTTTTCCAAAAAAATCGGCCCCCCCCCCCCTTTCCCCCCCCCAAAAACAAAAAAAAATTTTCCCCCCCCCCCCCCTTTAAACATTTACGGATTAATTGAGACTCTTTCACATCAGCATCTGCACGAAACCAATGTTTAGTTTGTTGAGAAATAAAATTTTCAAGAAGATTCGAGGCTTCGAGGCATGGCTTTGGTAGTAATGGATGTTTCTTTGTGACATGGTCTTTGATCCTATCGAAAAGCAGTGAGAGACTTTCAGAGCTCTTCCAAATCTCATATCATGAGAAATCCCTGAAGAAATTCCTGAGTTGGGAGTAAATTTGGTCCAAATCCGTCGTGATTGCCTTTGGTAGTTTTTGCGACGTGTTGATCTTTTTTAAAAGTTCGACAGCAGTTTTTATTACACTGTCCTCTTAAGAGGTAATGTCTGTCACCACAATATAAAAGTTCATGAAACAGAAGCGAAAAGTAATCAAAAACATGAAGGTGGGAATTTAGCACATACCGGCACGTGACTCTTTTAGCAGCAAACATATTATAAAAATTCCTGTGATCTTGAGTTAAAAGTTCATGTTCATAAACGATTTAGCATTTACACTTGGCACATATCAAGTGCGGCGGCCGTCACGTCAAATCCGGGTCTATTCTAGTTGGGGAGGGCATCATGATGCAGTTTCTCGGTGAACTCGAACATTCCAGTTTTTCATGTAGTATGTCAAGTAACTGTCCTCACGTCCTAACCAGGGTCAACCCTGCGTTGCGCAAATTCCAAAATTTTTACCCCCCCTTTTCGGAGGGTATCGGTACGACCCCCCGTATTAACTATTATGTCTTTCACATAATTTAATGCTCATCATTGATGTGTGGCAGTCACCAACATGGAGAAGTGGTGGACCGTGGTCAATCCGCGCGCTCTGTCTCGCTCAGAGGAGGGAATCGAGGCAACATGAAGTTTTATTCATTAAATAGAAGGAATTTCCAAATTTTTGCGTAAACCAATACATGATAATAATCACAAAGATTTCTACTTTCAGAAACCTACCAAGTTTTTTTTTCGATCTCTCAATTTTCCTTATTTTATAATCTGAAAAACTAAACCTTGTAGCAATTACGTTGCAATCCAAACCCCTCCATTCAGAAGGTTATATTTTTCTTCAGAAGCGGTCTCATGGAACCGGACACCAAAATTTTAAAATTCAAATAGTTTCTTCCTAAAAAGTATTTGAAATAATGCGAATGTTCTATATTTCAAAAAATCGTCCCGTTGTTCCGTTTTTTGTGCACACGCATAATTAGAAAACCTGACATTGGCGCTTTCGAACAAGTACCTCAACTTTTTCAACGATCCCTCTCTCAAAAAATAGTCCCGTTGTTCCGTTTTTGTCACCTTGATTTTTTCAAGCCATTTTCATGGACCGCGACTATGCAGTCTTCAAAGGCCCATAACTTCCTTCAAAGTTGATGTGATGTGAAGCAGTAAGGACCGTTTGTACTTGAAAGAGTACCTTAATTAGGTGTGAAATTCTCTCTATTCCCTCGATTTTCCTAAGGGCTCTCTAGAAGTCAATTCAGCAAGTTCGCTACACTTTGTTCCGCTTAGAGTCAATTTGAAAGCATCGAAATTCTCTTCAGGAAGTTTGTCTGCTCACGGCCGCTGACAGAGAAGGCGTTTTTTGTAAGAAAACGCCTGCTCGGGTATGCGCCGTGCACCTGTCTGTGGACAGAAGTCGCACTCGCATTTGAAGAATCCTCCATTTTCCGAAGAAGGTGTTAGCATCGTGACTGAATTGTCATATGGTATTCTTGTTCCACTCGCCCATGAACTGCTTTACTTTGGTTCTCCTTGGGATTTCAGGAATATTCCATCATCGAAGACAGACCATGTTTTTGCACTACGCTGTAGCAAAGTTTTTGGCCAATGCTTTGCATTCTCTAATGCTCCCATGGAGTCTTGTCTGTTGCGGATGCTCCGACAGCTCACAGGTGGCAGAGCTCTGAGAACACTAGAGCGGCGAGTGTGCACTGCAGACACTGTTCATTTACGCGTCTTGGCAGCTACCGTTGTCTCTAGAAATACCGCCGCCCCTCCCTTCGTTCAAAACCTAATGAGACCTGCCTCGTTTGTTCTTTTCGCAACTGAGTTAACCGCTGCCCCTACCTATGCTGCTACATCCCCACTGGCTCGGATTGTACTTGAGGTTCTCTGAAAAACTAGTATCTGGATTGCCCCCCTCTCTTTAAGAATAGACCCAACCCATACACGCCTAATCTGACTCCGTGATATGGAGTATACGTGTCATGAAAGCCCTTATCTTTATCCTTACCATTACTAGTGGAGAGCACGATGGAGTGCCTCCCCCGGCCTGGAGTTTCACCAGTTACCAAAAAAAAAGGTTTCACCGAAGACTTTTGAGCACTACTGAATGTATTCCAATAATACATGTGAATACATTCAGCCAGGGATAATGCGCCCCAATGCAAGGCCGCAGATACAGGCCCGGAAAAGTGCGGTTCATTGTTTTGACTGTCGCTATTTTATTTAGCAGCATGGACTTTGAAAATTAACTTTATAGTTTTACTATGACATTGTAACTGGTGATAGGCAACCGAACGGACCAACCATAAGTCGGTAATGCCCCTTATTCGTGAATTTTTACGCGTGTGAACTTTTTTACCGAGTGTCTTTTGTGGAAGCTTTCCTGCGCTTTTGTTTCCGAATTACTACCATTATCATATTATTCTGATTGGCGCCTTACGTATTTTGTTTCGTTTCTATAACGCAACAGTGGTTACCCGAAATTATTCTTTTAGGAGTTCCATGAACAGTAATGGATCCCTCGAGTACAAAACAACGTTAGGGTTTAACAAAGATCAACATTTACATAAGAACACATCCTGCTTGGAGCATCCAGAATGTCCAAGTAGGATTGATGAGTGCCGAAACTTACTTCGTCAGAGCGGACTGCTACACGCATGTCAAGAAGTGGACGTTAGTTCAGTTTTGCTTTATAGTACAAGACCGATGATATGTACTCATCTTTAGCATCATTCTATTAGTAAATGAACATTCGATCCAAATAATACATGAAAAGGGTTTCGGTGGAGACCAACGGTGGTATCTAAAATAATAGTTCTGCTGGATTTGACATTTCTCCGGTCAAGCGACTCATCTCAGCCTTTGAGTGGGTATAATAGTTTCAGAAATGAAAAGAATACATCGTTCATAGTCCACCCTCGCGCTCGATGTGCTTTATACTGCTTAGGTGTAAGGAGAAAAGGAGCGCTATCGCATTATACGGGGGGTTGTAGTGCAGTGCACTTGAAACCACTTGAAGCAACAATTCTAGATCGGGTTCGCGGGGTAAAAATGGTCGGTAATGAAATTGTGGACGCCGAGTGGGCAGGAAATCAAAAAAGCGAAGAAAACCGTCAATGAATTCCTTAAATAAGGACTCCCTCTGTTTCCTCTTGAAATGAAGAAGGCGACGGGACTCCAGTCTCTCTGAATTTCCTGCCACTCCTAGGCTTAGACCTAGGGATGCCCCGTATCTTGCGATAGCGCTAGAAATTGTATTGTATCGGGAGGGGTGTTGAATAGATTTCGCAGTATTTGTATTTGATTAAGACCAAAACCCTCTTCTTCTCTGAACTTATGTCATTCTTTTCTTTGATTGACCGTTCTTATATTTAGGACTTCCCAACCTTGGATGAATTGGATCTTCGTCAGTCACATAGCGAAGACCATGTCAATAGATTGCTCAAGGAGGCAATCTCTATGAATCAGGATGCTCTGAATCGCCTTTGTGAAGGATATGACTCTGTGTTCATGACTCCAGTTAGTTTCTCGGCGCGAGACATTACGCTTTCATTTGTATTCTGTTACAAAAGTTTGCAGGATTCGGTGAGGGTTGCGCAATCCGCTGTATCTTGTAGTCGGTGGCTCGCTGAAAGCATAGTTGAGGAGAAGGTGAGACTACTTCAATATTTTTCCTAAGGAACAGTTGAATATTTTTTAGGGAAAGATTGCTTATTAAAACATAAGACCACTCGAAGTTGATGTCGTCTTCCTTAAAATTCATTTCGGGTTTGACCTGCAATTGGGGAACTGGAGAATCCTCAATTCTTGTGATAGGTTGTCCCATAATTAGTGAATCACTTTGGGTATTTTTGAATTCAAATTTTTTTCTTTTTATGTGGAGTCTTTGCTCATCCAAACATACACCTCTGTCATCTACAATGTATTGCCTATACAAGGAAATTTAGTCGCTGTCTTATCTCTAGAATTCCAGGAGCTATTGATCGAAGAAAGATCGGAAGTCGAGTTTGAGGTCATGTCACTTAGCGTAAAGTTTCTTCCTGGAGAAGAGCGCTAGAGGTCAGACTGAGTTGTCTTTTGTTGACACGAGGATAGGGCCACATATAGGAGGTGAAAGAAGTGCTAGCCTGGAAGTCTCCAATTTTTTATGAATATTCTCTGCAAGGTGGGGTCGAACGACCTCAGGAAAAAAGCAGACTTTGTCTTGCTTTACTTCCAAATTGAACGCGTCGCCATTGCGCTGTGGATGCTATGACCCTGGTATTACTGGGCGGCGGTTCCCAGCGTAAGGTCACTCTCGTGCTCATACAATATCTCGGAAGGGTCGGACTCAAAGGGGGTTCGGCTTTTGCTGTCAGAACTCCCGAACCCTTCATGCTAAGCTGCTGCTTGTTAGAGATTTGCTAGTACACTTCACCCAGTCCAGAACCCTGATGCATATGCCGGATGATCACTGTAAGGAACTCAGAGAGATCAGAAGGAACATGATGATGTCAGATCGTGTGTGGAGCTGTTTCGGGCTCACAGCATACAAGATACAAACTAAATATTTTAAAATCTTTACAACTCTACGTAGATGTCTACATTCCATCAGTTTAATAAGCCGGACATGCTCCAGCAAATGGCGACAAGTTTGTCCAGATCCACCCTCAGTGGCGCTGGGTACAGCAGTGAGATTGCCACTTGAGGGGTAGTTGGAGTGTGGGTCATCTTCAACTCAAAAAGCCAACCTCTCGATAGAGTGAATTACAAGCAGACCGCGGATTGAGGGAGCGTGCCCTCGCCTATCCGCTGGTTGATTCTCTATGTTGGGCGTATGAAAGATCCTAATCAGAAGTGATTAAGAGGGGAGCTCAAAAATAGGTTCCAGAAAAATTGAAGTATCAGCCACGGAAGGCAGCATGTACATGGGCCGAGTAATCGCTCAGGTAGGATAATGTGGATGCTACTTCGCAAAACATGTTTCATGCCTTCACCATTTTTCTTGGATTTTTAATAACAATAAATGTAAAGTGATTCACTAATTATGGGACAACCTAATATATCAGCAGGTGTTACCAGTGGTTACGTGGCAGTGGTCAACCAAAGCGTGAGAGTCCAGACAGAAAAGCACATACTTTCTGCTCTTCTAGGACAAGCCTTTTGAAGGAAGGAAAAAGCAGAGACGCTGTAATAGTGTGCATGCGAGAGTGCCCTAGAGAACACTACAAAACGCTGAATCACCAAGACTTTCGTTGACGCTGCCCTTGGACGGTTACCAGTCTGCCAGGCAGTATTGCTCACTTTTGCACATTGTCATCAATCTGCCCTTCTCATCATGATAACTGCTATATGAGCACTTTCCTGCCTTCCAGATCCCCAATGCCTTTGCATTAATTAGACCCCCTGGACATCATGCTGGTCGTTCTTCTGCTTGTGGCTTTTGTCTCTTCAACAACGCTGCACAAGCTGCTGAGGCCGCATTCAATTTTGGCGCCGATAGGTTAGATTTTTCTTTTCAAAGTTGCTTTCTCTTACTTATATCCAATATTTGAAGAATTCTAATTGTTGACTTCGACGTGCATCATGGGAACGGTACTCAACAAATTTTCTATGAGGACAATCGGTAAGTTACTATTCGGCGCTGCCTCTCTTTTTTTATATGATAACAATCGTGTAGTTCTTCTGAACCTTCTCTGGATTTGTCTTTAGAGTGTTGGTTTTCTCTATACATCGGTACCAAGCTGGCAAGTTTTGGCCACACTTGAGAGACTCGAATTTCGATCACATCGGTATCTACGAAGGAAAGGGCTACAACATTAACGTTCCTCTCAATGAGGTGGTTTGCATTTTTCTTTAACACGTTGACGACGAGCGATTTTTTCCTTGTCGCGCGCATGGGACGAGGCGTTTTTTGCATGCAAAGCGCCGGTAACAACAGGGCAAAACTTATTTTGTAGCTCTGTAAAATCTCGAAATGCACAAAATGCCTTTGACTAGAGGACTCCAGACACGTTTAGAAACAAGTAAAAATTATTACTACTGTATGCTGGGTGAAAATTTCGACATCGCCTGGCATTTTCAAACCTCATGTTAGAATAGGTTCTGAAGGCGCAATTTCACGCATTCTTCATTTTTATTATTAATATGAGCTTTCCTTTAGATGGTACTGGTATCCTGATCACATCTGAAATCTTCTACGAATTTTTCACTCAAGAATGACGCAAAAAACTTTGCGTACCTGACGGAATGAGCTTTGTTTGACTGTGTACGATGTGAACAATTTTAGTGAGATTTCCAGTTTGCTGACGGTGGGAACTTTGTGGTTGTGATTCAATTGACAGCGCGTTTCTGCCACTGATAACTAATTCAGAATAAAACTCCCAGGAACTAGAAAGATCATAATTCGCAAACAAGTGTAGTAAGTTAGGACACTGAAGTAAACGTTGAAATAGAAAAGTCGCGGATTCCATCTAAGTTTGCTTACTTTCAAGCTGTCGGTCACCATTGACCGACATCGTCCCATGTGACAGACTGCCTGTCGGTCAGCATTGACCGACATCGTCGCCAACGTGTTAGTTGCTGGAATTTATTAAGTTGTTCCATAAGTAGGGTCGTTTCTTCTCAGATGCAAACTTTTTCTCTGATCTCTCAACCTCTCACATTATTCTGTATACCTTTTGAAAGAAAATTAATTGCTCTACAAAGTATGATATTTAACTTTTCACATATCTCGTTAAGTTGCTGAATACAGGCTTGCGAAGTGTGGTTCTTTCGACGAAAATTAGCCAAACTGGCAAATTACCTAAACTCTATATTCTATAGAGAAAGTCGATGAATGGTGCACCGTATTCTTGAACAGAAGCTTTTTTAAAGAATCCGCTATTGGGTTGTCCTACAAACCGTGTTACTTTTTTTCCCCTAAAACTAGTTTTTCAGGATGACCGCTGAGCCACGGTGGTTTTTTGATTGAAAATTTTCCTTCAAACTTTTGTTTCGACACTAATTCATTTATCATTCGGAAGTCTTCTGCTTTATATGAACACAGGTTTCGCTTTGATTCTAGCTTGGAATTAGGCAGAATTCTAGGCCCTCATAAGGTGTCCAGTCGGCGAGAGTAACATCATATACTTCCAATACCTCGACGGTAAGAAAATTTTGCCGGCTTAGCTAATTTCCGTCGACGGAACCTCTCAATTCGCAATCCTGCAATTCATCTCTCTTACGAGGTATGAAAAAAGGAAGCATGTCGTTTTGTAGAGCAGCTAATCATCTTTTGAAAGTTCGGAAATCTTATATAAAATAAACTATAAGAAAATCTTATATAAAAAGTTGGGAGTTTTGAGGAAAATTTTGTGTCTGAAAAAAAAACGACACTACTTATCGACCTAGTACAATTTCTGAGAACATCGATGCAAGAGTCAATATCGTCTTTGATTTGTTATTTGATCTATACATCTATATATATTTTGAAATTATGATGTTGAAGGTCGACTGCGGTGATGCTGACTACATGGCAATTTTCTGGAATGTCCTTTGGCCAGTTGCCTCTCAGTTTAATCCCGACTTCGTCATTGTTTCTGCCGGTACGACTTTTTTTTACGAAGGATTCTAATTGAGGCTGCATTTGTGACAATCTCTCCTTCTTTTTTAGGTTTTGACAGTTGTGATGGCGATCCTTCTGGGTGAAATGCGTCTCTCGCCTGACGCGTACTCTCACTTTGTCTATCATCTGGGTGCTTTGGCTTCTGGAAAACTTTTGGCTATTTTAGAGGTACATCGATCACTTCTATTCTTGTCGATGTTTCGACTTATTTTTTGTTTACCAATCACTGTTAAATGTTCTTCAATTTTTTTCATGGATTTTATATTTCGACTGCAAAAATGCGCTGACATCAGGTCTATTAACGACAGCAGGAGGTGATTCGAGGAAGGTTATGGATATTCTTGTACAGTGAAATGCTTCAAGCCCTTTGAATCATGATTAACGCTTATCTCAGTGCGCTCTGGTGACTCTTACTTGCTTTTCGCAAAGCCTACGATACCAAAAAGTTGGTAGCTTCGTAGCCAGTCGGGGCTTCCTCACTGGAATCAGAGGTTCACAACATCTTCGTTCCGGTCAGTACCTAAGAACAATTACGAAGGCACAAATAAAACATCGTTGCTTTTGCTGTCTTAACTGGTGCGTATTACTTCTTGCAAGGCGATATGCTAGAAAACAGGAGGGTTAGCGGGCGGGAAAAGCGGGGCGACATTAACCGGTTCAGGCCAAGTAATCAAAATGCAGTAAAATGGAACGAGCATGACATTAACTGCGCTGAGCGAGTGCGATAAAGAACTCGCTGTCACCATCTTTGACAACTCGAAACTGGTCCTTACTTGATTGACTACGAGACGGGTCATGTTCGAAGTATGAAAGAGAGAGGTGTATACCTACTTACAAAGAGGGAAGAAAAGGTTGATGCTTTTTTCTATTTTTTTCGTCGTCGTCCTCGTTTTTTTTGACTCTAGTGTACTTCATTGACTGATGTCGCTTTACGTACCGCTCCATCATCTGCCCTCTTTGCTTGCTCTTTTTTTGATTCCGTAACCCTTTACCCTTCCCAGTATTCCTTCTTGTCTTTAGCTCAAGAATGATTTGTTTCTCTCCGTTCCGCTCACATTTATTCGTGTTCCCGTAGCCAAACATTATTTCATTTATATTTGTACATTTTCCAATGCAGTGGTAGGGTCATGACCTCGTCGTTCTGTGGCTTCCAAATACTCAGCGACTGGGTCTTATGACAGAATTATTCGTGTATATCTCGAGAGCACAGCTTCACAGAATGAATCATTGTACTAGTGGGAGTAATAGTGATTTGAAAACTAAAAATGATCAAACAGCTCATATTGTGTATGTAGAGTTGCAATAGCTTCATACAGCCGTGTTTCGTGTCGGCCTTCCCCTGTCGTCTTCCTAAATACTGACTATGATGATATTTACACTCACATTGACATTTCTTTTCTACCAAATATTTATTTGCTTCATAACTGACCATCATGTTTGTTTAAGGGTGGTTACAATCACAAAGTTGCGGCAGTGGGTGTTCACAGGTGTGTTCGGGTTCTCTGCGGTTATAAACCCTTTCCACTTGAAATATTGGCGCCTCCGAGGGCTAGGTATGTGTGTAACTTCGTTAGCTTTCAATTCATATTTCTGTATTTTTTATACTGCACTGTTACTTTTTGAAGAATGAGAAGTGTTTAAATGTCATTGATGCCATCGTTCTTCAAATCATTGTTCAGCACTGTGGAATCGTGTCTAAACTGCATCGCATTTTTGAGAGGAATTTGGACGTGTTTTGATTTCTACAACATTTCTGGTCCGTGGAAGGATTTTGAGTGGATAATGTAAGAGTTTATCCAATTGCATTAGTGCGATGACTTAAGCGAAAGGTCGAGAATCTCTTTTGAATCTGCCTCTTTCTTAGGTCTTTTTTCGTTTGCATTCGCTCATTCGCTATCTTGTAATCTGGGTTGAAGTGGTTATATTCGAAGCACCGAAAAAGGAATCTGTTAGAAAGTGATGCACTTTTATGAAATGATTTTTATTTTTCGGGACAAGTCTAAAAATAAGACTTTCTCCAAGTAGCTCTCTGCATGTCAAAAGCGAATGAAGCGGTTGATGCGTTCGATCTGTTGGCAAAACTTTACATTTGAGATTGGTTCCTTCGAATTAATGCCGAAAGGCATCCGCTCTCATAAGGCCGGTGTCAGACTTCGCAAATTTGCATATCCGATTTGCAGGCTCAGGCTCAGGAGGGCATGAAGAGTGAGAAAGCATGAAAGCTCGAAAGAGTGGCGAAACCCAACGTGCAAACGAGAGGGGGTCCTGCCGCTTTCAAACAGTGTCGAGTCGCTGGTACACAGCTCGATTCACTGATGCAACGCTCGAATCCCGCGATTCGCCAGGTCGCTGGATTCGCAAAGTCTGACACCAGCCTAATGGATGTTATATCCACGATAACAGCCATCAGTGTAACCCTTTTGAATAGATTTCTACCGAAATTTGGTGTGCAACGTTGTGACCTTAGACCGCGCTGAATTTAGCGACTTTTCAAAAAAAAACGAACGAATTTGAAAACACAGCACAGTTCTACGTTCTGCTGTAACGCTCGATTTTACTACCACATGTTTCTTCATCTCGTAGCATGGGAGAGAGTAAATGTTTTATTGGCTCAGAGAGAAGCTTCAGTTAGAAACTTCATGCATGTAGAACAGGTACATTCCTGTGCCTGGCACATGTGTAAATATTTTTTATTTACAGGCATCAACCCACCATTGTATTTGATCCTCCTAGTAGTGATGAGCTGAGCAACACTGGTGCAATAAATCAAGAATGCTTGGTTTGTCCTGAACACTACTGCGAAGGTAGCTTTATATGATTTTGCATGGTGTTGGTGAGCTTTAGGTTCTGCTGTTGGTCATTTGATGATCACTTCGACTCCGTCTCAAAGTTGATTGGTTGCCACTTTTCAATTCCTCTCTTCGGTGTGGCTTCCTAACATGTTCACTGATGGTTCGGGGTTTAATTCCAGTTTAATTCCATCTGTAACGTTTGCTGATTACGTGATAACTTTCATCAAATTTTGGAACTTTATTTTCAGGGGGATCTACGATAACGAAGACCCTGATTGTACATAATGGGGACACTGCTATGCATTCCAGCTCGGCTGAGACAGATCACCCAGAAAGACCCGAAAGAACAGCGCAAGTAAGCTTTTTAAAATGATTGATGAAGGGATGTTTATTAGTAGTTTATGATTCGCGCAGCCATAACTTAATGTGAAAATTTTGAAAAGCTTTCTCAGAGCAACTTTTGAATTTCTAACAAAGTCTTAATAATGATAGAAATGAAAGATCCCACGATGACCTTATTCTAACCAAACGAGAGTGCTCCTTAAAGTTAAATTATGAGTGCTTCTATTATCTATCAGTGGTGAAGGAAACGAGACATTGTTTGAAAAATTAGGGGGCAGGCCCTATCCTTGAATATCTCATAAGTGAACTGTCCCGGAGCCTCATCAGGAAATCTCTTGCAGGAATTTATTCAAACTTGTTTTTTGGAAATTTCTAGAGCGCTTATTTATTTATTTATTTATTTATTTATTTATTTTCTAACACGTAAAATACACATGTTCCACACATAAACCTAGAGACATGCCCCAATATCACATTGGTGTGGCTCTTGCACATGAATGCGAATGTGTTGGTGCAAAATGGGCCGGCAGTAAAGAAAAAAGAAGAATCCGTAGAAAGGTCTTCGCTTCAGAGCTTACTCACCTTATTGTTAGTAATCGGATGTGCTGAGAGAATGAAAGACTATGCGCGGAGAAGAGAGTATGAGGCGAGAGAGCGCTACAGATGAGAGGGCGCCAGACAACGGGCCTGATAAGAGAAAAATCTGCAGCTTGAGCAGCTTACTTTTGCAAGGCTCGAGCTCGTATCGTTGTTTGTTGCACAGGATACTCAAAAGGGGAATGTGATGTCCCCTTAGATGCTCAACTACAGACAGAATGGAACCGTTCACACGCCCTCTGCCTGGGTTGTGCCTTTAATAGAGTCAGCAAAAAATCGCATCAACTGGCCACTGTTTCAATTCAAATACGCTCTACGCTCTTTTGTAGTCCTTTGGATTTCTTTTGGAAGAAAACTGGTGCCTCTTCGTGGTATAAAACATTTAGGTCTTATCTTGTTCACATCTTGGAGTAAATTACTTGGCACTTGAAAAGGCAACGTGTGGAAGAGTTTAAAACCGTCTATTCGCACGATGCCACCCACAATTTTGTCCACGCAAGCATCTTATTTCGTTCTATGGCATTTCAAATTAGAGGGTAAATCAGATGCATGCAGGTTTTGACTGCTGTCTAGTACGGGTTCATGTTGGTGCTAGAGTTCATTTGATTCATTTGTCAACTCTTCTGAGAGATACCACGGATTCGTTTTTACAGTGTTGCGCTTCTCAGTGCATTCAAGGCTCTAAATGCCGACTGAAGTCATCGTGGTGATTAATTTTAACGCCCGGCGTGTGTACTGGAATGATGTTCGGGTATCATTCTTTAACCAAGAAGTTGTGATTCCTGTGGTGATCTGTTTTTGATTCGAAGTAATAATGATATTGTACCAACTTAGAAGCAGAGCCAGGGTGATACTAAGGCAAGTGCCGATGCCGGGAACATTGTTTATTGTTTTTTTTTTTGGAGAAACGGGAAGCGTAATTTCAACCAGCTGCAGTCGATGTTTTAGAAACAAGAAGTGAGCGGACCGTGTGAGCAGAGAGGGAAAGGGCATGCCGCTTATGTGTGTGGATGTGTGCATTTTCAAATTTCAAAGTAGTGTTGTAAATCTTAGCGGTGGCCTAAAGACGTTGCAGAAGTAATAGTCATAACATTCAACATTTGCGCACGTGTACAGTGCTTCTAACAACAGTGGACGATAGTGTATTATTGTAGTTTGACCTCACCCTACCTTAACTACTTATAAAAATTTTTATCTTGCGCGGTAGTGTCTAAAAGTTCAGATGAGTACCTTCTAAGTTTGATGTCTTCGTGTACGTGCTACTCAAATCAGAAACTCTAAAGAGCCGTGCAAATAATAAAGTGGTCGGCGTCACAGGATATAAAGAGCACGTTGAAGGGACTGGGCCGTGATTGTGTCTGAATTCTGTTTAAGTAAACTTTTCTCAGATCATGAACGAGTTGGAGAAATGTGGGTTGGTCTCCAAGTGTGATGTCATTGAGAACAGCAGATCCGCTACGGATGAGGAGCTTGAGGCAGTGCACGAAAGACCTTACATTCGTCGTATGAAGTTTACTGCAGAGGTAGGTCGATAGCATTCCAATACGTCTCCACTCATCTTTCGGCACTATTCCACTATTGTTGCCCAAAATCTCAAGGAAATATTTTTGACTGAAACTTCACCTAAGGGGTTGTTCGGTGTCCTGATTACGGTTATGGCATTCATTTCGGTGTCAAAGTGGCCCAAGTGACGTCGGCGCCAGGAATTAATGTCATATACATAATCAGTGCCCTGAATGACTCCCATAAATGGACCTACGGCAAAAAATTCAAGGTTGCACCCTTGTGTCGATAAGGCAGGTGTCAGACTTTGCTGCCAGTTCCTGGCAAGTCGCTAGAGACTGGTCGCAAATTTTGGCATCTGTCTTACTTATGGGAAAAATCGATCTGACAAAGCATTTCACCTAAATTTA